GTCGCTAGTCTTATATATAAAGCTGAATGTCTGTTTGTCTGTATGTCTGTCTGTCTGTCTGTATGTATGTATGTACGTATGTTCCGAATAGAAAATTCCATTTCTGAACCGATCCGGACCAAACTTGGCACACATACACTTCGGGCCCCGGCGCGTGTCATAGGCTACTTTTCGTCATCGATCGATATCGATTTTATCGATTTTTATCGATTTTTTTGCTGAGTTCACCTACGGGGCTGGCAGTTGGCACAGGGGGGTAATCGAGCATGGGGATTCCGAATACAATATTGGTTTTCAGGATTATCGATTACTTTTATCGATTTTATCGATTTTTTGCAAAGTTTGAGCTACGGGGCTGGGAGTTCGCACAGGGGGGTAATCGAGCATGGGGATTCCGAATACAATATTGGTTTTCGGGATTATCGATTACTTTTATCGATTTTATCGATTTTTTTTGCAAAGTTTGAGCTAGGGGGCTGGGAGTTGGCACAGGGGGGTAATCGAGCATGCTGATCACTCCCAAGGGGGGTGATCAGCATGCTCGATTACACCCCTGTGCCAAATTCCAGCCCCCTAGCTCAAATTTTCAAAAAATCGATAAAATCGATCAAAGTAATAAACGATCTTGAAAACTAATATTGTATTCGTAATCTGCATGCTCGATTACCCCCCCCCGTGCAAACTCCCAGCCCCGCAGGTCAAACTTTACAAAAAAAATCGATAAAATCGATAAAAGTAATGGACGATCCTGAAAACTAATATTGTGTTCGTAATCAGCATGCTCGATTACCCCCCCTGTGCAAAATTCCAGCCTCGCATGTCAAAATTTACAAAAAATCGATAAAATCAATAAAAGTAATCAATAGTTCTGAAAACTAATATTGTATTCGGAATCCCCACGCTCACTTCCCCCCTGTGCCAACTCCTAGCCCTGTAGGTGAACTCTGCAAAAAAATCGATAAAAATCGGTAAAATCGACATCGATCGATAACGAAAAGTGGACTGTGACACCCGCCGGGGCCCGAAGTGTATGTGTGCCAAGTTTGGTCCGGATACGGCGGAGCCGGGTAAGCCAGCTAGTATGACAATATGCCCTTGTGAGAATGGTCTTTGTCTTTCCTAATTCTTCAAGAAGTCTGACAAGATTCAAAATAACATGCGCGACCGCGACTTTCCAAGTTCCGGAGAGCAAGCGTGGCCCAAGCTCAATGTGCTAGGTCCCACCATGCAGTGAGAAACGCGCGCGACCGCCCGCGCAGCGGGTTAAGTAGATTTAGATGGCGCCCAATTTCCAGGGCCGGAAAACGCCAAAAAGCACTTTTTTGACTTTTCAAGCACAGTACCTGACTTAGCTAGTCCAGAAGACAATGTATTGCGGAAGGCCCCCGTCGCGATTTTCCCGAGCCATTCCTTTAAGCGAAGAATCTACTCGACTGCACTATCAACGCGGCTGTCTTTCGATCGTTTAGCATGTCAGGGTCGAATACGCGCTTTGAATTTGCTGGAGTTAACGTGATTAACGATTGAAGAGCAGACACGTTAAATACCTATGGGAACAAATCTGTGAGATGCACCATACTAGCGACCCTGCGGGTCGCTATAAGTGGATCGAAGCAGATGTTCAGAAAGTTTATGCATCTCAATGACATCTTCCTGCATATTATCTTACTTGAAGGAAATTTTAGCCGAGTTATTAAATCTGTTCGAAGGTAGATTCCTTATCGGGGTGGAAGCAACTGAAGAAGTTTTCTGGACTGATGCTCTATCCTGAACTTTGAGCCTTTTTATTTTGTGAGACTCGTCAATGACTCGCTTTTCTACAAGTATAGGTGAGGTTTCCCCACGAAAACGTACAAAGCAGATTTTTGATAAGATACTGAAAAACGCACTGTAAAATGAACGCACTTTCCGAAAAGGTTCCTCTCCTCGAAAGCATGCCCTCCATCAATGAGACCCTCACTCATACACTTCGCTTTCAACAAGAAAGAACAGTGGCGGTATTTATCAATCTCCAGTATGAAGGGGGAGTAACACTAACAGTAACAGCCCGTACAGGCGCGGGCACTGACGCCCGCGATATATGAAGCCAAGCTGGTGACCGGGCTCTTGTCTATTAAAGAATATGGTCCGATCTGGCAAGTTTGGCCATGTCGGGCACGGCAGTCGGGCACGGCAGTCGGGCACGGCAGTCGGGCACGGCAGTCGGGCACGGCAGTCGGGCACGGCAGTCGGGCACGGCAGTCGGGCACGGCAATAGAACACCAGTTCCCCATCTCGACGAGTCGGGCGGCGCTGCCCGTTTGAGCCGCGCTTCCCAGACTTTCATAAACCGCGGGAAGGGCGCTCTCGCCTGTGCGGGCTGTCGTTAACAATGGCCCGCACAGCGAGTGGGAGATTAACGAATACCGCCCCAGAATGCCCTCAAGTGAGCGCTCACAGAAAAAAATTTTTCTACAGATTTTGCGATAGGCGACACCAAGTCGCTCCCTTCTCTGAAAAGTCAGCCGCAACCGAAACAACGAGACCCAGTCCACTTATGCTATTCCTTTCACAAGAAATTTTTTTTCGATAAATGCCCTTCGATTATTGATCAAATTTTGCCAATTATGTGCGAAAAAGTTGCCCCTATAACACTTTATGGAAAGCGTTGGCTCTGGCTTGGTTCACCAACCAGACCCAATTATTCAAGCATTGGATTTTCTCAAGTAGAAGCTCATTTCCATCGGCGAGACCCAGTTACTCGACCTCCTTCTCTCAGGAGAAGCAAAATTTCCCGGGTAAACGCTCATCCCTGCATCGAGACCCAGTTACTCAAGCGTTGGATTTCACTGAGTAGAAGCTCATCTCCACCAGCGAGAAGCAGTTATCCGAAGCGTTGGATTCCATAAATAAACGCTTTCCTCTACCATCGAGAGCACTTACTGAAGCGTTTGATTTCCCCAAGTGGAAGCCCATCTCCACGAGTGAGATCGTTACCCGAAGCGCCGCTTTCCTCCACCAGCGAAACTTAGTTACCCGAGCGCTGGAATTCCCAAAGTAGAAGCTCATCTTCACAGCGAGACCCGGTTACCTAAAGCATCGACGCCGAGTGAACACTTTCCTCCATCAGCGAGACCTAGCTATTCAAGCGTTGGATTTCGCCAAGTAGAAGCTCATCTCCGTCAGCGAGAACCAGTTACTCGGAATTCTTCCTTTCCTCAGAAAAAGCAAAATTTCGAGTAAACGCTCACCCTGTATAGAGACCTAGTTACTCAAGCGCTAAGTTTTCAAAGTAGAAGCTCATCCTCACAGCGAGACCCAGTTACTCAAGCATTAGATTTTCCCAAGTGGAAGCTCATCTCCACCAGCCCGGTTACCTAAAGCATCAAATTTCGCGAGTAAACGCTCTCCTACACCAGAGACCCAGTTATCCAAACCGTTGGATTCACCAAATAAAAGCTTTGCTCTACCATCGAGAGCACTTACTGCGTTGGATTTCCCCAAGTGGAAGCTCATCTCCACGAGTGAGATCGTTACCCGAAGAGCAGCTTTCCCCTACCAGCGAGACTTAATCACTCAAGCGTTGGATTTCCCTAAGTAGAAGCTCATCTCCACCAGCGAGACCCAGTTAAATACCTAAAGCGGGATTTTCTCAAGTGAACGCTTATCTCTATTCTTTATTGTAAAATGATCAGCGAGACCAGTTACCAAGCGTTGAATTTCTACAAAGCAAAAAAGCCTCCACCAACGAAACCCATACTCAAGCGTTTCCTTAAGTAAACGTTCGTCTCCACCAGCAAAATCCAATTACTTACGCTTTTTTTATAAAAAGGGAGTATTTTCGCAAATATATACCCATGTCCACCAGCATTACCCAGCTACTCGAGCCCTTTCAATCCTGGAAGCGAAAGCAGACTAGTCTGAGATAAAACCTCGCCCCCACCAGCGACACCCAATTACACAAATTAACCTTTCTTCCATCGGTAACATGTTTGATCAAAATTTGCGACATTATCTGCGGTGAGTAGTTATCTAACAAGGAAAGGATACACACATTTGGAATCAGAACGTTGTCGCTGATTCCAAATATGCTGTTCTTAACTGCTTAGCGTTACTCCGAAGCGAGTTATGAGATTGCTGTTTTGAGTATTTGTCAAACTTCCGAATGTCGTAAGACGGCGTGTAGATTAGAATCTGCTCGAAAAAAGTGCTAGGATGTTAAGTTAGCATCAGATTAATTCTTTTCGATCTTGAAAGGGACATTATACAACTGCAAAACCACTTCGACGTCGACAACGTAGCATCAGTAGGTCGAAGAGCACGCAAACTTTGCATGGAAATGACACCATAACTCGCTTTAGAATAACGTTAAGCAGCTAGGAACAGCATATTTGGGATCAGCGTCCCAAGCCAATTCCATAGCTGATACATCTCCATCAAATTTGCAGTATTTCTTGAACATGCTCCGAAAAGCATCACGTTTTGGTTCTACCATGAGAGCCACTAACTCTGCGATATAGTTTTTGTGCAAGCAGAGAAAAACGAAACAAAAAACGATAAATATTCTTAAACGCACAAAGGCAGAACCACACACTGGAAATGTTGAAAACCTTTACCACCTGCAAGCAGAAAGTTTTAGTAGATGAAACCTACGTAAGACGATGCGGCAACAGCCTTGCACGAGGCGACTTTTCATGGTAATGGCGACATGGGGAAACATTTGCCTTTCTCTGGATGTTGCTCGATCGCAAGTAAAATCATGTGATTTATGCGAAAACATCGTCTTGAGACTGTTGATATGCCACACGTGATGGTATGTTTACAGTCTGATTCGTAAATTTGTCCTTAGGCGGCACCTATGCGCGAAAGAAAAATTCGAGACGGTTCGGTACAAATGAAAAAATGTCTAATGGCACAAGGGGCGTGTCCGCATCTCATCTGGCTTCTCCTCGTCTACCATCTGCTATCGTTTAGGGAAAGTGCACGAATTCATGCTTTTATACGTAGTGATCATATCGTGTTAAGAGTCCATGTCTATGTCTCTTCATTCCACTCAGTCTTGCTTGGCTGAATGCCAGCGTTGTGCGCTCTCAAAGCTTCCCGAGGTGCAGACACGCCGCTGTACGTAAAGTTTCGCCTACTCCGGGTTGAAACAGACTGTAGAACGGAGAGTACGCGCAGAATATAACCGCCGAAAATATGGGCGTGCGTGAGTATTTTGCAAAAAAAAGTTACCCGGTCTTTCAACGGAGAACCTACAACGTGTTTCCGATTCGCTGGAAGTTTTTAATTCTATTCACCAGCAACATTTCGTTTTTCAAACATGAAGGAGCAAATTATTTATCTGGTTCAATGGAGTAAGAGATGGAAGGTTACGGTATTGAGTTCTGTAGAGACAGTGCGGACTTCTAACGGGAAATGAAAAGTTCTGCTAGGATTCTTTTATCAGTGCTAATGTGCTTTTATTTTTCGATTACGACTTCAAAATTAGTTGTTTCCAGTTGTTTCACCCTAGCAATCTGCGGATTCATGGCTACTCCAATGCTGCTGCTTTGATACTTTTCGCATTGCATGACGCTCTTTTTTCGTGTTTCAGATAGAAATTCACTCGAAAATAGTTCTCCGCCACTACAGCGATGTTTCTGAATATACCGTTGCTTGGGGATATCGTCAAAGGCAAAGGAAGAGGAGCTCGTAGTAAGCAACCGCTTGAAGATCATGTTGATCGCATGCATTACTATGTAACAGGTAGGTTATTACCAATTCTCGGCTGTCTACAATCTTTATCGCTGCACTTGTCCTGGAAGTGGTAATGAGGAGTTTGATTAGAATGGATAGGGAAAAAGGTTTAAAACAACATTCTAAACTTCTGAAATATATGGTTTATCTAAATTTTAGTGTACATACTCTGCATTTTCGCTCTTCTTGTTGGCTCCAAACAACACTTTGGCAGTCCTATCGATTGCTTCATTTCGGCTGAAGTTGATAGTCAGTATTTTCATTTTTGTACGAATTTGTCTGGCAATCATTTTGCTTTAGAAGTGCGAAGCTGGCAAGCGTACATCCTTGATTATTGCTTTATGCAAGGAACTTTCCGTTATGAAATTGGTCATAATGCAACCAGCCGTTCTGGTTACTCGATGACACCCGGTTTGAACGGAAGAGATCCTCATGATACAAAATATATTGGCGTGAAGTACTATCAGGTTCCTTTTTTATTAACAGCAAAATAGTTGAAAATCATTAATAAAAACACATGATGATAGTTTTTCAGTGTGATTTCCATTCTAGATTCAGATATCCGTAGTCATCTACTCACTCAGATAGATCTTGTTGCAGTGGGTACCATTTTTCTTTGCATTCCAACTCCTTTGCTTCATGTTGCCAGATTTCTTCTGGGTCTACATCCAGTCTTATCTATGTGAGTAGTGTCATACCTGAGGCAAACAGTTCACAGACTGCGGCAGTACAAAGAGGTTCACAAAGTAGTCGTAATGGCCGATCACTATAAGATGCATACCATTACTGAAAGCTTCATGTGCGGGTTTTAAATCTGATATTCCTATCTGCGGAGCGTTCTGGAAAAGAAATTATCCCGGACATTGACTCATTTTTTTTCTGCCTCAAAAAAATGCTCATATCTTCTTTCCCAGAGATGCGCCGCAGTAGAGAAAAACAGGTTTGATATCAGCCTGAGCCCTCGCTAATGATACACATTTTGTAGTGATCGGTTTCTTCTACTTCATGTCCCTTCTCTGTGAGGCACGCGCCATACTTGATCCGCTTGATCCGCGTCATCCACTTCGCCATTGGTCAGTTGGCTGATTTGACCAATAGCGAAATGGATCAAGCGGATCAAGTATGGCGAGTGCCTGTGAATCGAAACCGCGCCGCCGCGTTTCGTGTACTGCTTGCATCGCTTAGTTTATTCAAAACCAAGAGCGAGGTTATGAGGAGTAATACGTGTTCAGACATTGACATGGCTATGATTGTAACGGAAAGTGCAGAACTGCAGGGTGAGAAACGTGCAAGCAACCGTGCATCAAAACTGAGCAACATCTCGGATTATATTTTCAGTTATTTTTATTACAGAAAGATTGCAAGGGTAGGCGGCTGGGGAATTTTTTCGGCATTTTTTCCGACAATTTCGAACTCGCTTTTTCAAGTTCTCAATATAGTGTGTTCCAGCGTGGTTTGATCTCCTCAGTTTTTCGTTCACCCGCAATAGCGACGGTTTTCTATGGTTGCACAAAGTTTCTCTACCTTTTGAACGCTATTATCCAACTCTACCTCACGACTTACTTTCTTGGATTTCCTGATATGCATTGGGGCGTAAGAGTGAGTATCAATCTTTTACAACGAAAATTACGTAAAAATTATTGCTTCAGATGATGATTGCTTTTTTGTCGAAAAAGTCTTTTCCTCGAATGGTAGGTGGTGTACGCATACCCAATCACGGTGGATTATCGCATTTCCCTTATTTCCCACTCGAAGTTGGCTGCAATTATACAAAGATAAGTGCATAACCATTTTTTCTTGTTAATTTAATTGCTGCGAAACTTGAATTTTAGATGGAGAACAACAACAACATTCATATTAGCTCTATTCAATGCATGATTCCTCTCAATTACATAAATGAGAAACTGTTCTTGTTTCTATGGTTTTGGATCGTGATCGTAAGTTCATCATAATGAATGCTTGCAAAAAGCTGTAGGTTTTAGACCTGATGGTTATGGTGTTCTTGCGGTATCGAAATTGGGCACAAATCTGCGCGTAAAAAAATAGCTACGCCTGAAATGTCAGCATTTTGCACGCGCATACTACCGGTATTACGGGTCTAGCTATCCGTATTACGGGTCTAGCTATCCGTTCACGCGCAGATTTTGTCGCCCAAACTCGGCACTTCAAGGGCGTTATATTGTTAGATTTGCTAGGCTATACGAGCCGTCTAACGGCAACAGGTGCGCGCAGTGCAGCCGCAACGACACGCGCGCGAGCCAGCATATTAATCAGGAATAATGAATTTAAAGGGTTTTCCTTTTTTATGCCTATTTCTTATTCCCTTGAAGGCAGTAGATCGGCAGAATGAGACCCGTGACAAAAGAGGGTCACAGGGTAGGAGCCCCCATATGGATCCTATCAGCCAAAGTCCGGTCTTTCTCTGCCTCTTCTAACCCCTGAAATTTTAACGCGGAACCAGCGCTCATCTCCTGTATTCTCTGGCCTCGCCCACCATGGGATGTCCGGGGCCAGAGAACACAGGAGATGAGCGCTGCTTCGCGTTGAAATCTCGGGGGTTAGAAGTGGCAGAGAAAGATCGGACTTTGGCCGATAGGTTCCATATGGGGGCTCCTACCCTGTGACCTTGTTTTGTCACGGGTCTCATTCTGCCGATCTGCTGCCTTTAAGGATAATTAGGAGATATGACTAATCTGCAGGTACATTACAGCTGGGAAGCCAGCCCGAGCGTAGTTGTGTGACTGCAGTGACCCCTGTTGTTTAGAAGCATTATATGTAGTAAGATCAAGGCATGAGTGTTTTTTTGAAAACTGTATTATGAGTCTGTAAATCACTCATCATTGCAAATAGACGTTTTTGGCTTGGCGACGTCTGGCATGCCTGAAATGAAGCTGCTGCATCAGTTTTGTGCACTGATTCACATCGTTGTGACCCTAAGGCTGCATGTATAGTAGTGCAATGCGCATATAAACTAGTAATCTTAATCGTAAATTTGCAGTTAAGATAGCAGTTGGTTAGCAAGCCTCAGTTATATTTTTTAGCTGATTATGATCACCATAGTCAACATCGTGTTGTTCTTCGGATCTATCATGAATAAAGGACAGAGAGAAGACGCTATTCTTTCACTCCTCAGGGTAGGTTAACAATTTTCCTTCTTTTCTGATGACTTTGGTACAATCCCCATGTTGATGTTGATTGAACAGCTACTTCTAGGAAAAAGAGGATGAGCTCCTCATGAACGACAAATTCAACCTTGCGCAGAAATTCGTCCATGGGGTAAGTTTCTGCTCTTGCCAAAGTAATCTCTGATTAAATTCTTTGTCATTTCCAGTTCATGGGAGTCGACGGTGTGCTTCTGACGCGTTTTATAAAGACTAAAGCTGGTTCCATGGCTTGTCGCGACGTTGTTCAACGCGTCTGGCAGAAATATGCAAGAGAACGCGGTGCTGCAAAGACGGCTGACAGTGACGACGAATGGAGTGTTCCTTACAGCGAGACGTGCTATTCGGGTTCGTACTATCCAGATGGTTGCTCACAACGTGCTAGTTTATCTACATTGTTTCAACTAACTAAAGCGAGATGATCGTTTGGTACTAATAATTGATTTGCATTCTGTGATATACATTTGAGTACGGTTTCTAAAAATGATTCAAAAATAGTTACATGAAATACTGTCTTTTTGTTGTTGAAACTCTACCATACAAGACTACCACACTTGTGGTTGAATTTGTCAAACAGCCCTTAGTCAATTCCACCTTGAAAACACAAAATCTCTTAGATAGAATTTGTAAATTGTGTTTTCTACAATAGAGAACTTGGGCGATATAGGAGATTGAAGTTCTATTCTTTGTTCGAACTGTTTTCCGCGCTTTATTGATAGGCATTTTTTAGAACATAGGCGAGGGTCCGAAGAGTTTTAGAAGGAATTTGGCTATCTTCCAGATCTGCATGATACTTCAAAAAGTTGTCAGAAAGCGTATCTGGCTTACTCTGTACATGAATGGGCTATCTTTGCGACCTACCTTAGAAACTGATTTGTATATGGTACAAGAATCAACTGGTTATTCACAAGTTCGGAATGTTCGTTTTGTCTGAAAGCTTCATTGGTGGACGTATTTTGATAGGGTGTACTCTTTGATTCATCGGAAGTTGCGAGTAGGCAACCGCTCGCGAGTCTTTCGCGAGCATGCTCCTCAATCATTCCCTAGGCTTGGTGTTCTACTTGCCACTTCCGATGAATCAAAGGGTACCTCGGTTTCTACCTCACACAAATTGGAAGTGCATATGACATATAATTTTCGGTTAACTCCCTAGAGAATTCCCGATTAGTGATACTTAATAAAGCAAGTGAAAGTGTGCGCCATCATAAATTGTATTTTGCAGGGCTCCCTTTGGTCAAATACCATGACAGTTCGCGCAAGAACTCTCGCCGCGTGTGAAATCATGCGATGTCGGCAAGAGATTACTTATGTACAAGATGAGAGGAATGTATATAAAAGTTTGTATAATATTTATGTTCTTCACTATCAAAGATTTTGCCTATATCACTTATGAGTTGTTTTGTTTAGTTTGACGTTTCTTTATACATAGATAATTATGCATGTTGCTTGTGACTACGTTCTGAAAGGCTACTCCTCGTAATTTTTTACCAGCCACTTTTAATTGATTTGATAGTGGTGTGGATTGCAGTTTTGTTAGTTTATAATATCAGTCTAGTCGCAGAAGGCATTTTTGATAGTTATGGGGCAGCAGTTGTGCAGCCCATAGAAGAAAAAAATGAAGGAGAGGAGACAGTCAATATTAGTGTGCTTAAAAAGTCTTGAAATAGCCTTCACTGTTGTATCTATTTAAACATGGACAGGATTAATAGGGGCTCGAGTTCTCCCTTGTACTTGCCTCCATCAAGCTTTCTTCTACAGTCTGTCTCAATCCCAACCAGGCCAAAACTGGCTTGGCGAGAGTCCGCGACGCTAAGATTTCGCGGTCACGCCCACGGCCTGCTTCTCTGCTCTCTCTTCGATCCTTTTGCTGTCTCCGACAGCGCGCATATGCAGCGCAGACCGCTAGCGCTGCGAGCTCACGCCGACGGTTCGGCCTGATCCCAGTTGGAGCAAACTGTATACTTAGCGTACGGCCTCCATAAGCTAAAATAGAAATGTCATCACTCTACAAGCTGATTATAATGGGGAGATTATCATTATGAATTGTCAGAATTTGGACATAGCGATGATACTTGATGAATAAAGCTAACACACAAGATGTTGCGCAGCGGGTAAAATTATGTCGTTGCTAACGGCTTTCTCGCACTGAACCAGCAAGCCAATCAGCACCGTACTCGGTTTCGAAATTGGCTTTATTTACATGTGACCTACAGTATGCCGCGGATAATATGCCAGTAATTTGCATTGTTATGTACAGAGCGGATCAGAGAAGTCTTTGTCCGAAAGGGACTGAAAGTATCGTAACTGTCACACTATATATAGCTGATTATAAAAGTGACATATTGTATCACAGCATTTAGCTTGATCCTTAACAGCTCTTTCTCACATTTTTCCATACTTTCATGTGTGTATCGGTATGCTTCCAAACAAGGATGTGGAATCTCACGTAAGAAATCATCATGTTGAAGCAAAATCAAAAAGTAGGAGCTGTGTTCAAATTGATTGAATCAAAAAGCACTCAAATTGTTTTACGAAATTTAGTCAAGCATTCTGGTGTTTTTTTTCAATTTCAAGGCTCCCGCTTATGGATCTGCCTTTCTTATCAGTTATCTCCATGATTTTCTATGTGAGGCAAGGTCTTCGTCTCCAAATTCTCGCAGATTGTCCATCCAAGTCATCTTGCGTCTACTCCTAGGTCTTTAAAGTATTCTATTGTTAAAGCTACAAGGCACATAAAGCTACAGGCACCAAAGCTAACTTCGTGATGTGACTTTCTTTCTCTCTGCGCACATATCCGTATCACCATAATTGCTTCTATTGCATTTCTGGGTAACTGGAGCTACTTTAATTTTGGCTCGTATAGTGTCAATGCAAATGTGGTTTTTATGTGACTCCCAGGGTATCGCAGCATGATCGTTTTCAAGACGCTGAGCTTGCGCTCCTCGTTCCGCCTACATGACCAGCATTCACTGCCACTGCGTCTTGTATTCGTGCAATTAATCAAATCTTCCGCGTAATCCTCATTCTGTTTTTCAAGATCACTATATGAGTCGCCCTAATTTACACATCGCTGCAACTTGAGTGTGCTCTAAAAAGTTAGGCTTTGCTCTCGTGATGCCTTCTTACCCTATTCAAGAAAAAAATATATCCATTATCGGCAGAATCATTACTTAAAGGCAACGTCCCGGCAAAAAGATAGGTGCCGGGTTTCTGTGGCGATGTCAATGTAGACCCCCTACCTGAGCGATGACTGAAGTTCGGAGCGGAAAAGAAGGTCTACCAAGCCTGAAATTCGCCCCGAAATGGCCTGGATTTTACGGTAGGCTCGGGTGAGTACGAGATGCATGCAAGGTAGAGACGCAGAATCGTTGGAGTACCCTACGCTCTTGACTGTGTACGCTATGCGTGCTCTAGCCTTGCAGTTCGAAATCAATTTGTGGGCGGCGTTCGAGCCTACCGTAAGATTCGGGCCACATGGGGGGGGCGATTTGTAGACTTCGTAGACCCCCTTTCACGCTGCAAATCTCTGTCGTCGCCTAGTAAGGGGGTCTACTATTATATTAATACCAGAGCCAGGGTACCCTCCGATCTGGTGGGACGCTGCCTCTAACGAGGGAAATAGCCTTCCAAGCAAAATCAGTAATTCAAACAATCCAGGATTTGGTTATCTCAGCAAAACTTGTACACGATGCTTTTCTATTGCTATAGAGTGAATAGCGAGTGTGTATGATCTCAGCTTGATTATTCCAGTTAGAAAGACTACTGCAAAACTTTATTCTGAAAACATCGAAAGTGACAAGACTTTTCATGAAAAGCGGAAAGACATCTAGATAAAAGCTCTTCACACGAAATTGTTCTTATACGCAGAGTCCCAAAGAGCTATCGCAATGGGTGCCTGCAGGACACTGAGTGCAGGTAGTGCCCGGTAGGTAGATTCTCTCTTCAATTTTGTTTCCCCTAAATAGTTGTGATCAAAAAAGTAGAAGGTGACTCAAAGTTTGATTCTTACCCTGGGGCGTAGTGGCACACAGCCTGCCAATCGCTACCGCATGATTCTACAGCGCATCCCATTTTATTACTCAAAGCCCAGGCCATCTGTGAGTAGTTTTTCAAATTTTCTTTCAGAATTTAGAACGTACTTACCCTAGAGAACGACGGAAGTGTGCTGGACTCAAATTTTTGTCTCCAGAACACTTGGAGACCTATGTTGTTGGGATCGTTTCTGATCACTTTCCACCATGTTTTTACACTCTACAAGAAGTGATCTTGACCAAAACCGACAACTAGATTCCTACGACAAACCTCTGACATGGCCTGTACTTGGTCTGCTACAGCGGATTTGGCTATTTTATTCTTGTTCTCTTGCACATCCACACTGACGTACTGGTCTTCAGGACAGGCTTTTGCGCGTGCTATTGCTGATTTTTCAAGTTCGCAGTCGTATCTCTTAAAATGTCCAATCAGCAGCTATGCAAGATTACTTGTGTGTTTTCTCACCAATTTCTGCATGTTTGCAGCTTGCGGCATGTAAACTGAATTAGCTTTGTCCACTTGTCCTAGAGCAAGTTGCGATCTGGAATCGTAATGACATACGGTAATCTGTTAGCTTTTGCTGTTTTTCCACTCTTCTCTTATTGTAACGACTTAAAATGAGTAAGGGATGACAGTTATAAACAAGGTGCACATCGCATGTTCTCACTAAGCATCTTGCAATAAAGTACAAAAGTGTGGTTACAATAATGCATTATAGCTTGATTAACTAGCAAGCTACAGTAATTTCGAAAATCATGCTGTAACGAACTGGAGTCACTTTTTTTTACTGTGGTAGGAAAGATGTAACTTAGAGAAACGAAGAGGGAATGAGAGTGAGGAGGGGGGGGGGAGCAAAAGATAAGTTTACTGCCGTGATAAGATCCTAATCTATAGCGGGACATACTGTAGGGACCTTGTTAATAAAGGCCGAAAACGAGAGTAAGAGCTTGAAACGGAGGATGATTTTTGATTCTAAGACTGTCCAACTTTTTCAGGATAATATTTGTAATAAGGTTTGATCGTTCACTTCTCCTTGAAAATTTCCTTAGAAAATTATTCTAAGTCCATCGACAATTTGAATATCAAACCTTACCGGCGCCAATTAGTCATATCGAGGGCTTTGGTTCTCACTGGATCCCAACCAGCATTCATGCTACATATCTGGTTTTCTGCTGTAATTTACTTGAATTTTTCCCCAATTGTGATTCTCAAGATGAAAATTGTTGCCTGGAGGTACTGTAGAAGGGGCTTTAGTCGGAGCTGCACTTGACTCTTCTTCCTCGGTAGCGCATGTGTCCAAACTGGACGTAGTGTCCTCTTGGGCTGCCACATATGGAAGTGCCTAAATATTCGCTCATAAAGACATGATCTATTCTATCTCCGAAAATGTTTTAGTATTCAGGGCTTACGAGTAGAGCTATGAAGCAGATGACTGCATAGGACTGACGCATGATGCTTGAATGCTACGATATGGTCGAAATCGCCGCTTTAATATCGTGAGCATACGGTAACATGTGTTATGTTATAAACTAAACAACGCATGCATTCAAAAATCAAACGCTGGCATTACCGTAATCCCATTGATTTGGCCACGAAGCCGCACTATTACTATTCCAATTTTTTGGGAAGTAATTGTACGAATAATCGTATAGTTTTGACGCTTTCATGTGCTGCGCTTATCAAAACTCAAAAAAGCTTGTAGCTCATATGCTTCGTGGCAGGAGCGGTATAAAAACTATGTACAGCTTTTGATATTCGATCATGAATTATTCCAGTCTAACACATGCGGTAGTTCGTAAATATTCGGTTAAAAAAATCAGTACAAAGTTGTGGCGATGCTATAGCCAAAAAGGCAAAAACAATTTTGAGCTAATGGTCTTCTATTTCTGATACATATTGTTTGAGAGCTTGTACACAGAAATATGGTATGAAGTGTCGTGGGTTGTACATTCTCGAGAATCACGTATCTTACCATATAAAAGCGAGGAATAGGATAGCAGCAGCAAGCGCAGTTCAATCAACAATGCGTTATCTAGCAATTCTTCTAATCGCTCTACTCGTAAGCACTTAACAATGGCCTTTCTAGGGTTTCCAAACCAGCATTATATGCATACATTTAGGTTTTCGAAGGAGTGCGATCTCAAGCCACTGATACTTCCCCCCAAACAGAACCAGTAGAAAACACCGAACCCACAGGAGCGGAGACTACCCCTGCAGCAGGGAAAACCACCGGCCCAGGAGGGGAGACTACTCCTGCAGCAGGGGAAACCACCGGCCCAGGAGGGGAGACTACTCCCGCCGAAGGAGCGACAACAGGCGGAACAGGCACAGGCGCAGAGACTACGGGAGCAGGAGAAATAGGTGAAACCACGGCAGCTGGTAGTGGCGGAACAACAACAGGTGGAACTGGTGCTGGTGAAACTACAACTGCTGCTGGAGAAAAAACAACCGAAGCTCCTGTACCTCCAGCGAGTAAGTTCTTTGTAGTTTTTATTATTGTTAGTTAAAAGAGTAACTAATTTGTCAGAACTTTCTTGAACAAATGTGATATTTCTTTTTTTCTGAAGCGACCTTCTCCGTGCTTTCGCAAAATGTGATGGATTCATTTCTATACTAAATGTGTTTTTAGCCAACCAGATGTGCCCAAATAATAGACGTACGAACGACAAGATCAGAAAGAAGGCTCTTGATATGACTAACTGGCGTAGGTTAGTTCAGCTCTGGCATAATGAAAAAAAACTGTTGTAAATGGTGACATTCAATGTCCCTGGACAGGATCGAAATGTAGCAAAAGAATGCTAAATCATGCTGTACGAACATCTAAAATCTGCTTGAACTTTACATTGTTCAGATCAGTACTTGCCCAGGGACAAGTGGAAAAGAGGAACGGTGTCTACATGCCTACAGCTGCGAATATGCAGAAATTGGTTGGTGAAGAGTCACACATAGTTCCAACTCTTCTGTTACGCTAACCACTTTACAGAGATATGACTGCGATCTTGAACTTATAGCACGCGACCGTGCTGAGGCGTGCGAGGCGTTGGGAAGTGAAGCAAACACCGCGGATTATCAAGAAAACAGATATTATATTCCAAAATCAGATGTCGCATCTGCCGAAGCGCCTAGAGTGGACGCCATGGCCGCGGTCGGTAGCCTCTTAGTGTTCTCTCAATTTCAAGTGTTGCAGTTTGCAGAGTATAAAAGAGTGGTGGAAACGGGTGAGACTAGATGAGCCTATTGGGCTGCAATGTTATTTCAGAGCCAAACATGAAAGTCTTCAAGTGAGAACCTTCACTAGGGTAAGAATGCATTGATTCTAAAACTGAGCACTCTAGATAAAAACAACGAAATTTAGATGGCTTGGGCTAACACGAACAAAATGGGTTGCACGGTTCAAGAATGTGGTGACCAATGGCATGCCGTATGCCTCTATAGCCCACCGTGAGTATTTTCATAATGATGCAGGTTTGGTTTTTCTACGCTCTACTTTCTTAGTGGAAACAAAGTCGAAGAAAGGATTTACATACCCGGAACTACGTGCACCATGTGCCCGGCTGGAACGTCCTGCGACCGCTCTCTTGGACTCTGCGTGGCTCCTGGATCATAATCCTTTCTTGTTATTACACAATCCAATCATGAGTCTTTCCGCCTAACCAGGGAAAGTTCAATACTTCCCGAATTTTTTCAGTAAAGTTTGCAGCATTGTACACGGTGTACTATAGACACAATACATGCTATAAGGAAAACATGGGGATATTGGTGCATGAGGATACAAGAACTCTAAAGTTGCTTGCACCCATTCAAAAAAAGCTTGCAAGCTTGCGAATCTAAGTATAATGACACAAGAAGGATGAGAAAACGCTCCTTTCTCCTGGATTCAGTGCACGTTCAAAAATAGTGTCAAGCCTGCACACACGAGAGATCAGAAGCACATTATTCTTGCCCCAATTTCACCAACACCGCTACTTGGTCTGTAAAGATCGGACATCGCTTTTGTACCAAGAAATTATGGAAAAGCATTAAATTTGGTCACGTCGGGTCAGCTTTTGACGTCTGCTCAGATGGATTTAACGTGGAGCCCGGATGCTCACCCTGAGACGTTGATAGAGCCTTAGGCCTCGAGCAGAGTTTACGCGATTTCGATTTTTTTCTTCGTCGCGATTCATCGCGACGATGAAATCGCGATGATGACACGACGACGAGACAACTGTAACAATACCATTGCATGCCGATCTCTTGATTTCGGTTGTGATGGTTTTCCAACACGACTCGTTACTAAGCATGCAATGAACTTCTAACACTTGTGTAGTCGCTACGAATCGCGACGATTAAGAAACGACGATGAAACGACGCATAAGATAGGAATCAAATAACTCTGGCTTGAACTCTGCCTGAGGCCTCAATTTCTATCTGCTTTTCGAAACGAAGGGCTTCTATGAGCATTTCATGAGCTTCTATCTTCGCAAAACTATATCACAGCATGTTCGGTATGGAAAATAATGTTAGGCAATAGATCGGGGGTTAAGTTGTATTGCGGGATAACGCTTCTACATTGATTTGAAGGAAGCGTTTATACGATTCATGTTACCAATCTACTATGTAGTCCACAAGCAGACAGTAGAAGGAGACATGGGAAATGGTAGCCGATTCTACCCCTACCTTCAGTTTTAAGCTGGTACAGGGTGACCATGTTCATTTTTGGGCCTTGGAAATTGTTTTCACTGACAAGAAAAGGAAAATAAGCAAACAAGTACAAAAGAGATAAATGAAAGCACCTTCTCATGACATTTATCTCCACAACCCCGCCGTTCCCTCTCGCAAGCATAAGAAGACTATCACCCGCCATGGACGCATCTACGCCGCAGCACCTCGATTTTGGAGAATAACGCTTTTTGATGATCTTCAATGATATTGAAAGCTTTACATCAACTGTCCTCTTGAGAGCCTGATCCAAGGGCCCTTTATAGGGCCACGAATACGATGAATAGAACTGCATCAATGTTTGTAATGTGTTCATGAAATAGTGAGCTTAGAAGTGAAACTTAACGGGACCCAGCGGATTTCACTGACCAGGGAAGCACCCAAAGTTAAAATCGGCTTTCCAAATGAAATATGGAGCAGTTTGAAGAGCATCGAACGCTGATTCCAAAACTGTCTTTGTTTTTTGCCAAGCGCCTCTAGTCGCTGAATTATCAGTGTTTTTTGAAGTGAAAAATGGCAGCAAAATCTAGGTAAATTTAATGGTTATCGTCTTTCGAGAACTCAAGTAAAGAAGTGTTGAGCGCGAGTATACTAAAAGGTTTTTATGCATAAACTGGTTTGATACCCAACGCTGGGCCAACTGCGCAATCTAGGACGAATTTGGTACTAGTTGTGCATTTGATTTTTAAGCCAAAAAAAGCTCATAACTCGGAGTCTAGAGGCGCTTGACAGATAACAAAGACAGTTTTGGAATCAGTGTTTGATGCTCTTCAGATTGATACATAATTCTTGTGAAAAGCCAATTTCGACTTTGGAGTAAGTGTAAGTGCATTTTTTATAATAACTGTGAAGAGAGTAGGTCGATTCATGAAGTATCACCCAGAACCAGAAATTTAAATGATGAAATTGCGAAAAACCATGTGAAATTGCAACTGTCATAAATCTGGTGTATGGAAATATCACCAACTGCTCATAGCTTTTGAAAGGTAGAGTTGCTCTACCAGAGAGCGAAATACGCAATTCGATCTGAGAGTTCATCGCCAGGATCAGAATCAGAATTTCAAACAAGTACGCCATCTTGAATTGCTTGGTGACAGCTGACATTTAAACTGCTACAAATCTTGAGCGTGAGGCTTTTCATCACTGAGCCCCCCCCCCCCCTCCACCCTACAATGTTAAAGGCAGCGTTGGGTGAAATCTCAAGTTCCATGTTTTTGGCCTTTCTGGCCCTTTCTACGCCCTTTCCTAATCTGAGAAATCGCGTAAAGTTTTCAAAAACCCTCGCTTTCGGAACCCGTTTTTTGAAAACCTGCACAAGTATTCCAACACTAACATGTTGCGCTGCAACGTGAAAACATGTACCGAAGACAGTATATCTTGCAGATGTAACTTGAAAGTGGTGCAACCTGTAAGCTCGTCCGTACAGGTGTTGTTTAGAGGTGCGAAAGGAGGAAGTAGAGCTGCGCTCAACCCGGCCACCTGGCTTCAGAGTTCACACTTTTGGAGCGGACTTGCTGTTTTGGCTTAGTTGAGAGGGACTTTTTTCTATGTCAACAACCGAGGTAGGTTAGATCTGCGTGAACGCTCCTTAAGAGGAACGTTGGCTAAAGCACTTGAATCGATTAGAGCTCTTGAAGCTCATGAATCATCAAGAAGCTTTGTTCTTCAAAGTGTAGAGAGTGCTGAGGCATAAATGCGTCCATAGCGATGATGTCCTTCGGGTGCTTGCGGTAGGTGACGGCGAGTTTCT